GCTTCTAAACCTTCCTAATGCTACAACCCTTAAATAAAGTTCTTCATGTTGTGACCCCCAAGCATAATTACTTTGCTGATACTTTGTAACTGTAATTTTGCTACTGTTACAAGTTATAATATAAATATCTGTTATTTGACCCCTGTGAAAGTATTCTTTAACCCCAATCCATAGTATGAGAACCAGAGCTTTAAGCATACCTTGTTCAGCTGCTGTTGCTTCTCAGCCCTCTTAGTATCCACCTGACCCATCTCTTAGCCTTCTCTCTTGCACCTTAATGTTCATCAGTCCCATGAGAAAAAGATGCTCATGAAACTGGCCCTTTACCTGGGTTCCCTAAACCTTCCTTCCTTCATGCTTGCCATGCTTTGCTTTTATTGTTTATTTTTTTCAAATGTTAGGTGAAGTTAAGCCTCATCAAGGGAGCTGGATTCCACCCTTTTTATTCTTTTTTTTTTTTTTTTTTTTTTTTTTTTTTTTTTTTTTTTTTTATGGATAGCATTTTCTAGCACTGAAGTGACAGAAGGAAGAAGTCTGTAAGGGTGGTGTGCTCACTGCAGGGAGCCAGGACTAGAACAGCTTTACATAACACTCTGTTTAATGTGGAGTCAGGCAAGGGGGATAATTTGCCCAAAGTCTCAGAAGAGAAGAGAGAATCAACTTGTGATTCTGAGAAGACAAGAAAGGGAAAGCTAATTGAGTGGGAATATTACCAGAGATTTCTACTTATCAACATCCCCCAGTTTCCAAGAGTGCTCTAATTTCCAACAGCCCTTTTAGGCTCCATTTGCAGCCTTAATCTATTCTGAGGATTTTCATGTTTCAGTTCCAGGCAGTAGAGGCACCTTGGAACCATGTTCTCCATCTTGAAAATGGGAATGGATGAAAAGTTAAATGGTATGTTGAAAAAATTCTGCATTAGGAGTCAGAAACTCTCAACTTCACTGTCTTGTTTTTCTCAGAACTTCTGATTTTCTTTTTGTAATACCCATGAACAAAAAATACAATAGGGAGAGTCATTGCCATTTTAAAGAATTTACTTATTTATTTTTTGCGAGAGGGTTTCTCTGTATAGTTTTGGCTATCCTGGAACTTGCTTTGTAGACCAGGGTGGCCTTGAACTCAGAGTTCTGCCTGCCTCTGCTTCCCAAGTGCTGAGTTTAAAGGGTGTGCACGACCATGCCTGGCTGCATGAAGTTTATTTTTATTATTTCAAATTATGTATCTATGTGTAGGGAGATTCAGTTTTCTGGGATGAAAATGCTGATAGGTTAGTCAATTCCAAGGGGTCAGCCCTAAACACATACATGTAACCACAAATTGACTCAGCAGGCTTTATTTATATGTACATATGCATGTGCATATATATGACATATATAGGTTAATAGACATAATTAAAGAAGACAAGGTTTGGAATTTGGATGGGGGACATGGGAAAAGTTGGGCATGGGGGTGGAGTACAATGATATAAATATAGTTCCCATGTAAAACATTCTCAAAAATCAATGTAAAAAAATGAATCTGCTGCAGAATTATGGGTAGTCCAATCTCACTTGTCATTGTGAGGATAAAGGGCAGGCGCTTGGATCATTTACTATGTGAATGTGTGATGTAGGCAAAATCTGTATGCTGTCCATTTGAATGACCACAGTAAGAAAGAAGCTGCCGGATCTTGCCAGAGATTAGTAAGAAAAACATTTTTAAAATGTCCATTTGCTATTTTCTTCCACGTCTTATTGATCGGCTCCTTACTTTGTCTGAATTCACTCTGAGCCCATATAAAACCTGGCCTCCTGATTATCATGAACTGATCTGGCAAGTTTAGAAAATAGCTGAGTCTCTTCCGGACCAAATTGAGCAGTTGGTTAAATGACCCATCGATTTCACATTTTGTTGCTTTGATGTGGTGACTAATTGAAATATCCACAGTGCTATTTGGTGAGCACTTAACTTTGGCTCTCACTTACTTCTCATAGTAACTTATTTCTCATTAACGGGGTCTTCTTAGCACTTCCACTTCATAAACAGTGCAACCGAGGCTCAGAAGAAAGAAATAGCCTGTCCAATGTCAATACATGTGGCTCTCTGATGGAGTGCTTACACAAAGTTTGAGCTCTAGGACCCCAAAACAAAGTCGGATTGTTAGTGGTAACAGAGAGTAGTTTCAACCCTGGCAGAAGGGCCAGCTGTGGTTCTAGTTACCAAGCCATTTCTGGCAAATGGGGTTTGGCATCTGAATCACTTGGAATGGGATCTTATATAATTGTCGTCTCTTTGTACACAGGTCAACTTACTCTGACACAACCCATTCAAGTACTTAAAGTTTCCTTAATGGGAAGTAGGTTAAGCAAATTTGAAATGCAAGACTTGTTTTTCAGGCCACAGCTCCTTTGTAAATAATTCATTATTCATTCAGCAGCTATGCTCAAGCGCCACCCTTCAGTGAGAGCATTGTGGGAGATGTAAATAGAGAACTGTGTGGTGAGAAAGAAGTTTGGTGTTAGAGGACTGTAAACAAACTCCTTGTGGCAATTCACAAAGACAAAGATTTGTTCTGCCTAGACAGATCAGAAAAGGCATTCCTACCATGCTAAACCTTCTCCCTCCTCACAGGAATCCAAGGCTCACTCCTTCACCTCTGTCCTATTGTTGCTTGGAATGTCACCTCCCCATTTAACAACAAAAACCTTCCTAACATGGTTTATCCAACTTCCTTGCTTCACTTCTACCTAATGTTTATAGTATCTCAGGGCACTGCATGCTTCATTAATTTATTGGTTTTTTTTTTTTTTTTATGTCTGTGTCTCTACATTAAAATGAAAACTGCAGGCAGGTAGGGTCTTTGGACTGTTTTATCCATGATTCTGAACCCTGTGCTCAGCATGACGCCTGACTCAAAGTAGAGTCCCAGTATGCGTTTGTTGAGTAATTGGAAGGAATAGGAATTCAGCAGGAGAAGACTAAGGAGGATTTAGCTAGACATTGTTGGAAAAAAGAATTCCAGATGAAGAAGCTTGTCTAGGAGTGGAAGCAGCATGTCCCATAGCTTGTTAGGAGATGAATGTGTTGGTCCATTGGCTAAAATGAGATGTGGAATGGCATAGCCTGAAAGTGTCTACCTTAGGTGATTAGAGTAATTATGATTTAATTCTACAGGCAGCAGGAAGCCCTTAAATTAGGGTTTGCTAATGATGATAATCATTCCAGGTAATTCAAATATGGGGGTGGATGTAGGTTCTGTGGGTTCTGAAGCTTTATACATTTTCTGCTTTTCTTTAGAAAAATAGAAAAAGACTACAAACTGATGGATACTGAATTAGATCTGACCTCTGGCTGTGCCTCTCTATGTCACAGAGCTAAGTTAGTGTGACAGGAACAGGGAGTCATCCTTGGTGCTTTTCTTTGCTTGGGTTGCTAGCAGTGAGCTTGTGTGTATGCCTGTGACTGCAACCACTCCCATATATCCTGCCCAACCGGTTTCCCTTCTGCAGATCCTGATGATGAGAAGGGATGTCTGGTCAAGAGATCAGGACCAAAAGGACAGCAGTCTTGAAGAAGGATGGCTGAAGTAGCTATCTGTGGTGCTGGGAAGTCATTTTTAAGCCCCAGAAGGAAGTCAGGAGGATGCTTTACTAGCTTTGGGGAAATGTTATTGTGGAGCTCTACAGGGGCTAATACAGGATTAATTAGGAGGGGGCTAAGACAGCATTTAACAGAGATGGGAGGAGTCACATGGATGCTTGGCATGGGGCATATAGAGTGCTACAGCTACACTCCTAATGGGACATGGCTACCTAGCCAAAGAGAAAGGTCAAAGTTGTCTTCAGTCTCCTCAGGATACTAATTTGTGATCTGGGAGTAAACTATAATTGTAAAATGTTTAATACTTTTCCTCACATATGTTTTACAAATAAGCACATAAAATATTCTACATTTTTTAGGAGGAACTATGCTCATCGCCTTAAAATTTTCCAGTTAGACTATTAGCAACGAGAGCAAGACATTATTAGGGTCCTAGTGACAGGAAAGAATATAGTTTTCTCAAATTCCCTTAGTCCCAGAGAGAAATAAACACAGATAGCAGGAGAATTTGGCTGTTAAATCACTGGGTCAAGAAGTAGAGCTCACCTTCAACAAGGCTTAGCTGTTTTGTTTCATAGAATAAATTCACTGGACTGCATTAGGATGTTTTTAATTTTTTTAAAATAAAAAGATGATTGAATAAGGAATCATGTTTGTAACTCCACAGCTAGAAACAATGACAACTGCCATCTATTTGTGATGACCTTGTGGCATGTCAGGAAAATCCCTCACCTTAATGATTTACTGGAACAAAATTATAATTGATTTAACCACACAAAGGAGGAAAAAAAATGATGCCCAGCCCAGCAAGCAACAGTCCTTGAGCTGACTTTGTGGTAGAGTTCACTCACTATGTTGTGTCCTGCTTGGGTTATATAGAACTTTCAAGCCCAAAGTCTCCCCTCCTCCACCCCAGGCATAAGGTGTAGAATTAAATGAATTATGTGAACTGTTCCTGGGTTTCTTCTTAAAGACACTTATATAGATTTAAAAGGCTGCCTTTTTATAAAAGTATTATAAAAATGATGTCAGGTTAGCAAATACCTAATTAATAAGTTTCAGGTAAAATACAAATTTTAATACCAAAGGTGAATTAAAAAACTCCTCAAAACTATAATTTGTCACAGGCATTGCCTTTCAAATAAGAAGGCACAATTTTAGCTTTCAATGACATGGAAATGACAACCGATACTTTGGCTATGGAGAAAAAAAATAGATTTCATCTTCTTTGCCAATTCCAATAAACTGAGAGTGGCTTCCTGGGGCACTGCGTTGGCTGAGTTCTGAGACTGCTTCCAGCTCCGTAGGAGAGAGAACTGCGATCAATTAAGGAGTGGGGAGCCTCAGCATGTGTGCTATGCATTCAGTATCCCCGATGAAACAGCATTTACAACAATCAATAGTCACTGTGGACTCACCGGATAAGCCACCCACATCCATCTTCTTCAAGTTCTTCGCTTCCAGAATGACAACAGTCAGCTTGCCGGCAGTAGGGACGTAGCGGAGGGAGAAGCAGATGTCCCCTAGTTTCTCTTGCTATGAAAACCAACAAAGAGGTATTAGTGAGTTATCAAGTGTAATTGAAATGTTTGTTCTTTAGACACTGTCATTTCCTCAGGAAGACAGTTATGACAATTAGAGTCTGAAGCCATCAAAGTTCATGGGCATTTTTACAGTGGTCGTTTCATGTAATACCAGTCTTTTCTTTTTCAAGATTATCTATTTCAGCTTTTGCAAAAAAGGGCCATTTATGCATTAACATCCAACAGAATATGTCTATAATTCAATGGGTCTGGAAATGAGACCAAGATGAGTTTCTTTGAGACCACACTGAACAGCACTGCAAAACTCTTAGAAAAATCTTGCTTTATTAAAAGGCTTTGTATGATTTACTCATTCATTTTTTATTAGAATCAACCCATCTCAGTTTTTGTCTTCTCCTCTTTCAAATAAGATTGTATCTAAAAGCCTATGTTTAGGGTTTTGTGAAGAAAGACATCTTTGTTCAGCTAAATTCCATTTATTGCTGAGGAAATGCTGAAATTCTCATAACATAAATGTACCCAAGTATGATATTTTATGCACTTAGCTTTATTCATTGCAAATGAAGTCTTTCTTTGTCTTTATCTTTAAATTTGTAAAATCTAATAGCAGGCTGGAAAACTGTAACACATTCTACCACAATGCACCTACTCATAGCTCCTCTTGTCATTTCAGTACTATCGTAGTTTATGTCCAAAGAACATCTAACAGTTCTGTAATCAGGGGATTCTGACTAACTTATCTAGAGTAGAAAATGATGGTGGTACAAAATGTTCCTTTCCTAGAAAGGATTGATATTTATCTCCTCTCTTAAGTGCAATATTGAGCATTGTTAGTATTACTATTTTCTACTACCAGTTAATGACTATGCTGGTCAACATGAGTATAAATTGTATTTGTGTGAATATGTGTGTGCATGTACACCTGTGTGGTGCAAGCACAAATAAGGGATGAGAGGAAGGAGACACTGAAAAGAAATCAAGATACTGTTGTACCCATCTCCTGAGATGAGAGAGGCTGCCTACTACACCATCTGACCTAAGGAATTAGCTATATGTTGCATCCATGTTCATTCCTCAGTATCCCATCCCCAGTTCTAAATTTTGATTCTAAAGAGGGAAGTGGTTGTATCAGACTTCAGTAGATAGACTTTTAACATAGGGAGGGTATAGACTAGAAACTGACAGCTTAAGTCTTTCCATATTGGCTTCTTAGTGGGACTGTACTTGGCCTTATCTGTAGCTAGACATATGTGCTAAATGAGTCTGTCTCCAGTGTGGAAATGCCTTCCTTGATTTAATATAATGGTGTAAAGAAAATGTGGTTTCTTTTCTGTGGGGGTTCTCATTATAACCATCTTTCAAAGAAGAAAGAGTATGTTTTATTTGTAGGTGAGTATAGAGGGAGGGAGAGAGGGATGAGAACACCAGCTACTCTCTCCATGCTGAAGTAATGCTCTATTGACAATGACCCCACACATGTGTATGGACCAATCCTCTCACTTACAGAACCCTTGTAGTGTCTTACATATCTCTAGGTTGATGAGAACACATTGTTTTCATATTACTGGGCAGACAGTTTAATTCTCCCACTTGTCTGTGTCTTCCCTAAAGGCAAGGTCCTTGTATGGATATTGCTTTACCTCAACTTTGCAAAAACATAAATACAAGAACATTTTGGAAATATCCCTGCCTTGAATCACAGCGGCATAGCCCCCTATGGCTATTATACCATTGTCACTCCATATGCTTAACCACTCTGACCATTAATTGACATATTAGGGGAGTTAATAGGATATATTATTTTTCATAGCTTCTGAAAATTCAGAGTTGGAATTAGTATTATAGAAATTAATACAAAATAAAGACAAGTTCCTCTAAACTTCGTGAGTGACAAATTGACAAAATTACTACTTGAAATAGTCATAGGTGGAGGGCTCTATGTAAGAATCTCAAGCTCACTGTACTTCAGGTTAGAGCACTCTCACAATGTCACCAAGTATGCCAGAGATGACTACACTATCCTAGATCATATATCCCTACATGGCTCATTTTTGGACTCTATGAACAACTTAGGGTGCTAAAGTAAGTTCAGTTCTGTATTTCTGTTTTACCCAATATCCTTTTTTTTTTAATACTTTTTCTTCTTCTATCCCATAACTTCAAAATTGTAGGTAACTTTAAAAAAAAAAGCCTTTATGTATCTAATTAAAAATGTTTTGACATAAGGACTCATGTATCAGTCTGGCTTTCAAATGTTGGTAGCTGAGGATGGCCTTGAACTTCTGATCCCCCTGCTCATCTGTCTGTCAAGTACTCAGGGTTACTGTCACGCACCGCCACACAGCTCTCCCAGTTGTTTTAGGGGAAGAGATGTCATGTCATTTTTCTTGCAGGATCATTTCATTCTTCAATCTTAAGACACACCGAGAATTTAAAACATTCTATGTAATATTTAGCTTCCAAAGAGAGCTCAACATTTTGGATAAAGGAGAAATATGTGAGATTAACTGCAATTGTAAGGCTATGGGAATGGATGAGAAATAGGCGTGTAAAAGAACAAAGAATACATTTTGGTATTTTAATATAATGAGGAAGAAAAGGGCTTATTTTAATACTCTTTATAGATCTGCAGTTAGTTTATTTGGGGGTTTTAATATGGGAAACTTTCATTTGTTTATAAAATTATTATAACCAGTATGCCAAATTAAATAATATTTTTACATGAATGAACTGAAATGACTTTTCAAAGTTTCAATTACTTCTGAATCAACTGCCATTTTAAAGCTAGATATGGTCTCCTTCCCCAACTTGTGAAATTTCTGATGTTAAGATGAAGGAAACTCTTATTTGGAAGAAGGCAAGAAACATCACCAAGTTCTTAGGACTGCTGTCTTGGTAGCACATTTTCTCAGTGTGAGCATCTTGGATGAGCAGATGACATTACTGGTGCTTTAAACACCAGCTTTAAGACATCCATAAAACTGAAAGTTTGAGATCCAAGGTATCTTTCTTTTTTTTACATGATGGTTTGGCTCTTGGTTCAGTGATTTCAGACAGTAGAAAATGTAATCAAACCAAGTGTTCCACATGTTGTGGTAGGCATGGAACCTGAAGTTTATATATATCAGGAACAAATTCACCTTTTGGGTAGGCCATGGGAGGACATGCATGACAGGACAGTGGACCAAAGTGTCTGTTCTTGAACATGTGTTCTGTTCAGTCACATGTGAGTCAAGGTTATTGAACACGCTTACATGGTAATCCAGTGTGTTAGTTAGATTTAGAGGCTCAGACTCTCATGAATTATTGAAATCTACTATGCCCTTCCCTTAGTGAAGTCTATCCCTTCACTTCTGTGGTCAGGAAAAGCACTCCTCTGTCCTGCAGTGTTATTCTAGCTTATGAAGGATTTATTCTAGCTTTTCATCCACAAGGGGCACTGGAGGGACCTGAGAGCTTTATTTGGACAGTTTTAGATAAAACTCTTACTCACAGTCAATTTGTAAAAGGATACCTGGAGAACTATATAAACATTTGATGGTAAACATTTGCTATCCCAGTGTTCTAGTGCACACCCCCCACCCCAACTCATGTATTAAAGGCTCAGTCTCACACTGGTGAATCCAAATGAGGTCTCTGATCTAATCAGTAGATTTAGTCATTGTTGGAATTATTGAGAAATGGAGGGAACTAGGAAATGGAGTCTGGTTGGAGGAAGTGAGTCACTAAGAGTAACCATCTTATCTGTGTACTCTTCTTGTCTGGCCCTTCTTCCTGACTTCCATGAGAAAGGTAGCCTTTTCTAGGGTATGCTCTTGCATACCTATGCTGTCCTCATACACACTGGCCTATACACTATGGACTGAAAACAACGAGACTGTAGATTTTTCCAGCCTTTAACCTGATTTTCTCAGGTAGTTTGTCACAGCAATGAGACATATCTAATATATAAGTCTCCATCTTTGATTCTTATGACACATTAACAATTATGATTTTCTCAAGAGCCTGTGAAGCAGGTGCTGTTATGTCCATTTTATAAGTGGATACTTGAGAACTAAAGGTCTCAGAAAGGTAGGTGGTCTCAATGAGAAACTGAAGCAAGATCATTTACCACTATATGTGAAATAACATAGTAATTTAGCTGATGATTTACCTTATATTCCACTCTCATTTAAAATTATGTCTCTAAACTGATATTCAACACATGCCTTCTCTTTAACTGCTCCCTCCAAGACTTTTTGCTAGAGGCTAACTTTTTATTCATTCATTCATTTATTTTTATTTTATTTCATGTATATCTGTGTGAGGATGCTAGATTTCCTGAAACTGGATTTATAGGCAGTTTTGAGGCACTATGTGAGTGCTGGAAGTTGAACTCAGGTTCTCTGGAAGAGCAGCCAGTGCTCTTAACCTCTGAGCCATCTCTTCTGCCCCCTAGAGGCTAACTTGCATTTCTCTGTTATACTCCTCTTTTAACTCACAAGCCTTGACCTGCCCTTTTCTGTAAATGTGTATCAGACTGAGTAGTTTTCATTATTGTTAATCGACACTGTAACCTGCCTTCACTACCTGTCGTCAATATCTACTTCCAAAATGACCTGCAGCGTGGCATTTGCCACTGTCACCACTACTTCTACCACCATGACTTCAGCACTACCATCATGTCACCTCTTTCTTGCCCCTACTTAATCCAATCATTATTTAGCCCCCTCCATGTTTGAAATGAAGCCCTAACCACTTCTGTCATACTCTTGAAAGAGCCCAAAGAACAGTTCCTCAGTTTCAGTTTCTACAAATCCCAAAGCAGCTTGTATATTAATGGCTACGCTAATGTCCAATCCCTTCTTTTTAATGGCCTGCTGTATGGTTTTTCCTCTTTAGGTGCACAAGTTCAGCTACCTGTAGACTCTAGAAGGGCAGGGATTGGAACTGCTGTCCTATGCCTTGCTCCAGGAACACCATGGAAGGCTTCTAAATCATCATGGGCTGCAT